CACTCTGCTTTGGAGGAAGAGTAGCTGCAGCAGCACTATTGCAATAATTCTGTGAAGAAGCCCTAGCAGAAGGTACTTACATGATTCGGGAAACTCATGGGAAGAAGTGGAGGCAGGGCTGGGCAAGGACTTTGTAGAGAACTGTCAATTGCTGCCCTGAAAAACCACATGCTCAGCACTCTTTTGTGTGTGCGCGCATGTTCCCCCACTCCAGAAAAGAGAATTTGTTTCTGTTGTCTTTTCTGTCTGCAAGGTTTAATGGTGATGCACTATGTCTATTACTTACATTTGGCTGTAAATGCAGGATGTTTGGTCAAATTGCAAGCCTGGAGGTACCAGAAGGCAGCACACCTCAGGCAAAAGGTTTTTATCACCCAAAAGGTTTTATTATATTATACCATGGGGACACCAGTTGCATTTTCTCCTCGAAGGCATGAAAATGTCTTCAGCCTTCTGTACTGTAGTGTATAAATGACAAGAGCCCTTCATTTTTGCTACTTTTTGTAATCACCAACACAGTCCTCTTTGAAAATCATAGGACATCTCTTGTGGACAGAATGGAGAATCTAAGTAGTCACCCACCCTAAGACCTAGATTTTTAAAAGTCTAAAGTGCTATTCAGTCCTACTCAAGCTTTTGTTCTCAGGGTTAAATAATAAAGCTAGAGGGGAAAGAAATTATGAGTATGTGAACCCTGCCCTGCAACCTGACATTAAAGTAAAGGACCCCTGGATGGTTAAGTCCAGTCAAAGGTGACTATGGGGTGCAGTGCTCATCTCACTTTTTAGGCTGAGGGAGCCGGCGTTTGTCCACAGGCAGCTTTCCAGGTTGTGTGGCCAGCATGACTAAACCACTTCTGGCACAACGGAACACTGTGACGGAAGCCAGAGAGCATGGAAATGCCGTTTGCCTTCCTGTTGCAGTGGTACCTATTTATCTACTTGCACTGGTATGATTTCAAACTACTAGGTTGGCAGAAGCTGGGACAGAGCAATGAGAGTTAACCCTGTTGCACGGATTTGAACTGCCATCCTTCTGATTGGCAAGCCCAAGGGGCTCAGTGGTTTTGACCACAGCACCACCCGCTTCATCCCCATCATCACTCACTGAAGTTGGGATGACAACTACCTACAGTGAGCAGCTTGCTCTGGTCTTGTAGGTTTCCAACATGGTGCAGATTCCTGATTTCCTAAATCATGTCTGGAACTTACACAGGGACAGCAAGTTTCCCTCTGCAGACGTGCTCCATCTCATGGAAGGCAACAGAGATAGTGACAGGGGTCAAAGCTAGTAACCCCCACTCTTACCCTCCCTCCCTTAATCTAGGGAGGACTGTGTTGCACATTATAAGAAGCAGCAAAAATGGTGTGTGGGTGTGTGCATGCTGAAGTTTCAACGTTTTGCCTCTTATTGTAATGGGTAAAGCACCTCTGTCTCCTACACAGTTTTATTCCATTAGGATATTTTTAAAATACTAATGAAATCACAGTTGAGTGGCTTTTCCACCAGATTAGACTTGGTGCTTTTTATGACACAGCTTCTCTCTGATTGCAACAGCATCAATTACTCTAAGTAGAATATCATACTCTTTAGCACTATATACTGTTGGTCTTAATGTTATTATCATTACTATTTTGCATTGATGTCCATGAGAAATGTCTACCAACATTGCCATCCTATTTACTTTGAAATATATCCTGTCAATTTCAACAGAACTTCCTCTATTTCAGTTGAGGCAGCAATCCTATACTCACTCACTTGGGGGGTAAGTCCCATTGGAATAGACATGTATAGGTTTACACTGCAAGGCTGTAATCCGAAACATACTTTCTATGGAGCAAGCCCCTTCATACAAAGTGAGACTTATTTCCAAGTAATGTACAGGACTGCACTTTTTTATGTGGTGCAATACATAACAGTGCTTTTGTTGTTGTTGTTACAGTACTTAAAAAAAGGAGTACACACAGTGCTTTCGCCAGCGGGTACTCAATGGTACACAATACGGCACCTCTTTTTTTGTTGTTAAAAAGTGTGGCACTTGCTTTCTATTTTTCTTATACACCCCCAAAATCCATCCACTGTATTTGGTTTTTTTTTCTGAAGAAAAGTACAGAATGTACTGGAAACCCAGCCAGATGGGCGGGGTATAAATAATAAAATTGTTGTTGTTGTTTAGAAGTTTAGCTTAGAATATAAAAAACCCAAGTCAGACTGGAGATCATCAGGAGCTGCTTTTACAAGTTAAGCTAATCTACGATGACTTCATAATCAGATACTGTAGACACAGTTTTAATTTTGTTTGGCGCTTAACAACTTCCTATGCTTGTTCAAAATCTTCTAAGTTTTTTTTTTTTAAGGTTTACTCTGGCTTTTACAAGATGTATGGCTGGAAGAAAAAACAGATATGAAACAGTTTTTTCAGGGAAAGGTTTAACATGATAGGTATAAGGCGTATTTTAAAAACCCATTAAGCGAACATTGCCCTGTGTCTGGTGTTCCTTTTTCTTTTTCCACAGCTCCTGTTCACTAACATTTGAAGCAATGCTCTCCCCCAATTCCCAAAATATATTTTTTTTCTTGCGGCAGCTTTCCTTCTGGCAACTTTCAACAGTGACAGAAGTAATGGAATTTCTACATGAAAGCTTTAGTGATGTTTTTTCCATTGTGTGGATAGCGCCATTAGTAGCTATATGGCACTGGACTTCATGGCATCTGAGTAGAGTCAAGGAGTTTTCTGTGCGCTTTTGGTTCCTGTTTGAGAGCGACAATATTGGTTTTGTCGAGCTTCTTAACTGGTGCATCCTCTATGTCAGCAGTGGGAAATCTGTGATCTTCCAGTTGCTGTGGGCCCACTCTTCCCCACCAGGCCTCCAGAACTGCTTCTTATTATGCAGTGTGTGTGTGTGTGTGTCACAGAGAGGTAGAGGTGGAACAGAGGGTGATGTGACTGCAATACAGTGAGCCTGGGGGGTTGGGGGACCTAGCAGTGAAGCTCAGAAGGAGAAACCCAGGGATGGGGGCATCAGCAGGGGGAGGAAACTGAAATGGATGGAACCAAAAATGAACAAAATTATGAAAAGGGGAAAGAATTTTTTTAAATGAAAAGAGAGGGACAGGCCTCCACAAGTGATCAGATCTAACCTGTGCTGATGGAGGGAGTCAAAACAGAGATGGGAGTGAAGTGTGTGTGTGTGTTGTGCAATTCTGCAATGCTGCGCACTCTCCCAATGTTTAGCTCTGATCCTCTCCACCACTAGCATACAGCCCCTGGCAGATTGTCCTGGAGGGAATGGGACCCTTAGCAAAATAAAGCTTTCCCTGCCCTTGCTCTAAGCCTTCCACGACACCAGGGACATTCACAGCCCAGTCCTCTGCTCCACCGTGCAGTGACAGCGGCACGTGAAGTGACATAATGGTTCCAGCACTTACACAAGGAGACAATGCCTTCCCTTGTTGCGTTTCTGGGATGCGACAGTAACAAACATGCAGTTTTTTATATCCCGGTTTTGTGTGTGATACAGCCAAGGCGTCATTTGTAGGAAAGAAATTTAAAGCGGAATAAGAGAGGTTAAGGAAGGGGTGTGAACGCATACAAAGAGGATAAGCACATGAAACTGTCTTATACAGGCAAACCACTAGCTCACCAGCCTTCCCCAGTCTGATACATTCCAGAGCTTCTGGCCTACAACTCACATCAGCCCAGCCAATGTGGCTAGCAGTCAGGGATTATGGGAACTGTACTCCACAATATTTAGAGGGCCCCATGTTGGAGAAGTCTAGTTGATTTCAAAGGTCTAGGATTACATAAAAGAACAAACCAGAGGCCATATATATATATATGACTTTGAGGTCAAGCATTATGACTGTGGTGAAAGATGTCAAGCATATTACACTGATTATTGAACACACCAAATATTTAGATAGTAAACTGAAAGGGCTTGGACATTTACTGCCATATCATGAAGAAATATTGGAATGTTCTAGGCACTTACTTGAAGACTAAGTGTTCTTCTTAGGACCCTTTTATGGATACAGCCAAGCAGAAATTGTTAATGTCACAATTGCCCTCTTGTCTAAGTGGATATAAAATGCTTTAGTACACAAAAGGCACATGGGCTGCATGACTAGAGGCTTTGGTGATGCTCCTAAGATAGTATAAAGACTCTTTTTAGGTGCAAGCCAGCATGCTTTAATTGTTCCAGCAGTCAACTGGTATGCATGTAGGCTAAGAAAATAAACATATTAGAAAATGGGATTTCAAGCTGTTTATTCAATTCATTCTTCATGTTGGGGATTAGCAAATGCCACCATTCAAAAGGCCACAGAAGTACTCCTGTTTGTACAACATCAATATAAAAATGTACTCGCAGTTCATATTTGTATTCCAGAAATAGGAGGCTGGGGTAGTAGAAATGACAAACTTGCCTAACATTAAAAAGTCTTTTGAATTATTATGGTTCAAGTCCCTGAATTTGTGACAGCAACTAAGTCACACCACATTGGATTAGGCTTTTCCCATCATGCCTGCCTATCTGCATATAAACACAGGATTGTAAAAACTGAGAAGACTGCACTTCTTAGTGAAATGGCGCAAAGGTGTAGATTTAATAGTTGTATGAGCAACTGATCCAGATTTCTTCAAGTAAAATAAAAATAATAATTTCAGTATGAATTAGCATAATTACAAAATGGGGTGTGGAATGAAAGGACTGCATCCATAGCAAACACAAAGGCATTTATCACAGACCATACTTCTGGTGATTTAACCCTCTTGAATATTTCGCTTATTGTTTGAGACAAGGCACTTTAGAAAGAGACCGTTCTCTCAGCTGTGCAAACAGTTACTGACTATTTAATCCCCTAGAGCTGGGCAGAAAGTCAACTATGCCACTGTGTTGAACAAAAGAGATGTAATGTAAATCCAACCCCCCTCTCAGAAGACTTCAATACCCAAACATTTTGCCTAGCCCTTGAAGAAACATGATATCAGATTCTATTACCTTGATATGACTTTTAAGTCTTGATCAATCTCTTGGAACTTCAACCAATATTCATCTGCCAGTTTGTGAAATTCTGTCAACACTGAAGCCTTCAAATCAGGATATGGGCATTCCAAGGCCAATAACTGTGGTGGAATCTCGCAAAAAAGTGCAGGCCTCTCTCCTGAAGAACATGCCAGTGCCTACAATAAAAATCAGAAGTCGTTAACCTGTAAATTCAGTAGAGTTCTTGTTCATGCAATTAAATTCAAACAAATGAATGTCTTCATATTCTTACTTCATTGGTGCACTCTTCAAGCTCTCGTTCCAAAGCTTCTTTCTCCAGATTAAGTTTTTCCAAAACTACTTTCTGTTGTTCCTTCACAAATGCAACCTGATTTTGTGAAATATTGTGATATAAAAGCATCATTGTGGCTGGCATTTCTCACTACTTCATACATTGCATTTTTATTCTCCCTCCAACCCACTTCAATAAGCTCAGGAAGCTTCTCCCCACCAGCTTTAGCCTCACCGTGAGGATCAGCCTCACTCGCAATTCAGATCAGGCTGTGTGTGACTGGCCCAAGGTCAACCACTGAGCTTTCTGGCAGCATGGGGACCTGAAGCTGGCCCTCCCAAGGCCCTAGGCCAACATTCTAGCCACCATCCAGACTGGCTCTCCCCAATGGCATAATTCTGTTTAACAGGTTCTGCATTCCTATCTGCAGAACAAGAAAATATGGGTACAGGTGACTGACACAAGCAAACAAACCAACCTGTTCCAACACTGCATCTGGGTTAAATTGATATTCTGGGCATTGGTAGTTGGCCTGCCATTCCAATAGGCGGTACCTCAAATCTTCCCTAAGCTGCCAGATAGGTTGTACTGTGTTTGCTTGGAATGTTTCCAGTTCCTTTGATAACTGATACTCTATAATAAATTAAATACAAATTAGGATCGTTGCTTGGGTTTAAGAAAAGACAATTAATTATTAGTGTGCCTTTTCCAGCAAATTAATTCTCTTAATTAAACAACAACAACAGGCTTGTCAAAGAATAAAACAGAGTGAGCACAGTATTCCTGCCTATCCATCTCCTTTTGGTAATCTTGTGGATGGCCATTGGAGGAGGACTCCATCACTCAAGGCTTGTCCAAGTCTCTGTTTGCCACACTGCTTTTCCCCAGGAAAACCCATGGTTGACTGATGAATTGAACCAAATGGCAACTGGGTTTTTTGCAGATTGCTGTTTGTTCTGCTTCAGCAGTAAAGAGAGTTTTTTCTAGGGGCATGCTGTAGGGCAAACACAAAACCACTTGGACCCGTGCTTTCTAGGCATGGGATAAGTAGAAGCATGGACAAGCCCTCAGTTCATTCTTTCGAGCTGTTCCAAAGACTTGCTTGTGGGCCCGAACCAATGGCTTCAAGTTACAAGAAAGGAGATTCTGACTATACATCAGGAAGACCTTTGACGGAGAAACAGATTTCCTTGGAAAGTGGTGGACTCTCCGTCACTGGAGGTTTTTAAGCAGAGAATGGATGGCCACCTGTCATGGATGCTTTAGTGAGATTTCTGGATTGTAGGAGGTTGGACTAGATAACCCTCAGGGTCCCTTCCAACTCTACCTCTACCTTCCTCTGTGCCTATGAGAAACAGCACCAGATTTCCCTTCTCACCCTCTCAACTCCACACTTATGAGTAACCCAGCCAGATGGGCGGGGTATGAATAATTAATAATAATTATTATTATTATTATTATTATGGAAAGACACCTCATCACAGCCAGGGTTTGTTTTCTTCTGTCCAAGCAAAAGCACCCAGGAAGACAAATTGAATGGGTTTGGAGGTGACAAAACCTTCCATCTCATAATATTAAGTTACATTATTCATGTGCAATTTTACTTTGAATCCATCAGCATATAAATATTTATAAAGACCTGGTTTAATCAAGAAATAATATGAGAAAGTACTTACTGAAGCCCCACAAGTCCAAAAGCCATTCACTTCCTTCATCAAAGAAGTTTTGTAGTTCAGATTCTAGTTTTTTCCTAAAATGAAGAATTTTGGTTCAGACATACTCATTTCTTTCATATCCACAGACCAAACAGAAGAAAAAAAAAGCCAAGGCTAGTCATTCACTTAAATGCAACTTCATTTCATGATCCATGGAATATTGTATGTCTTTCTTAACATCCTTTTCTTGCGGCAACAAAGTGAACTGAAATCTTCACCAATGGATTCCCAGAAACTAGAATAGTATTTCTCAAGTGAAACAGTTCATTTAGTCCACCTAATTTTTTTTCAGTATTTCCAGTGCCGATACCACTTTTTGTACACTGTATCCACCCACAACGTTCTCTTTCTCCCTTATTCTTCGAATTGCTTTGGGGTGGGGGCTGATTTATTCCTAGGCTTTGTGCCTTGGCCTGACTGCCCATAATGATTATGCTTCTTCTGTATTCACTCCCCATTTTGCTATGCCTTTCCTACACCAGAATCCTGGTACAAAATGCAACAAACCCATATTTGACTCAATCTGGCCCGCTATTGCCAGGTGCACATCTATATTCCATCCTAGTATATCACTCCTAACTTCTCACATCTAGTATCTTCACTTTCAGCTACCCAGCTTCAACCTCCTGGCTGAAATTGAAGAACATTACCACCTTCTCTGCATCCTCTAGCACCTCCTTTCTTGCCTCGGTACTGCATTAGGCCATCCACAGATTCAATCTAGGTTGTGAAAAGCCTTGTCTGTGCTCGAGTTCCCGTACATGACTTCTCAAAAGATGTGTAGGAGCAGTTATAGGGCTGCAATGTCAAGGATCCTCACTCTCTCCTGAACAATATGTTTTGGGAGGAATACAAACTTCTGGCTTATGATCACTTTCTAGCCTTTTCTGCTCCCCTTCCCACCATGGAAGCCATCATAAATCAGTTTTGTTCTCTAGAAGTCTCTTCAGGTGGGAAATCTATCTATAGCCTACTACTATGAACTGCAAGAAGTCTCACTTCCTAGTTCTCAGAATTACCTCGGCCAGCCCAATCTGCTGCTGCAATTACCAGCACCAACCTGTGCTCAAGTCCATTCTCATATACTGGTGACCCTGTCCTTCAGAAGCATAACCTGCTACCCAGGTCCCTCCTTCTCCAAAAGTCATTTCCACTTTTCTGGCTCCTCACAATATCACAGGAACATCCCTGTGGTTGCAGCACTCTATTGCTCTCAACTGTGGTAGACTATTTGCTACAGCAGCCATCCTGTCTCCGTACCCCAGTAAGTACAGTGGTACCTCGGGTTAAGTACTTAATTCGTTCTGGAGGTCCGTTCTTAACCTGAAACTCTTCTTAACCTGAAGCACCACTTTAGCTAATGGGGCCTCCTGCTGCTGCTGCCGCGCCGCCAATGCACGATTTCTGTTCTCATCCAGAAGCAAAGTTCTTAACCTGAGGTACTATTTCTGGGTCAGTGGAGTCTGTAACCTGAAGCGTATGTAACCCGAGGTACCACTGTAGTGTCAATCCATTCACTGTCCAGAAGTGGTATGCAAATCAGATCTTCCATCTCCCCTCCCCAATTCTGACATGACACAGATATTTCCATTTGGTATGTTTTCAGAAGGCTAAAATTCACCAAACATTATATGCTCAATTATCTTTTAACAGATATCTGTTAAGCTATGCCTGCTGCACCTTACCCTTGTACTATCAATTTCTGAATTGCTTGATAAAACTTTCCCACTTCTTACCGGCTTCTATGCAGTCTTTTGTGCTCTGACCACCACACTTGATTATGCCGCTTCTGCAGCATTTGTTCTTTGTTGATTTTTGAAGCGTGTTCAGTCTTTTTAATCTAGGTAGAAGATTATTTTTTTTAAAAGTAAGTATAATAAATTTATAATTTTATATAAATATAAGATGAGTTCTGTGGGCCTCTAAAATTGTTTCTTCAAAGACAAGGCTCTGGTTGCTCCTGTAGGTCAATGGCTCATGAATAATCAGAACCACAGTTAAATTAAAAGGAAATTTGTTCTAGAAACAAAGGCCATTTATACACTGCCCCAATCTACCTCATGCTGTACCAGCTGCTGCTCTCAGCTTTGCACATCCAGCCACCAGCTGCCATTCAAGTGTAACATAAAACTCACAAATGTCAGTAATCTAGTCCACTATTTATGTGTAGAAACCAAGAAAGTAATAATAAGTTACCTGTTCACTCACAACCAATTTATGTCTATTTCAAAGAAAGCCATTTTTTTAACGTGCCTATAAATATACCAACATGGTATATGTCTTCCAACCAAACACTTAGAACAGTGTAACAAAACAATACCCGCTATATAAAGCAAGTAACCAATAACTAAGTGGTTGTTGGTTATACCAGCCTTCTCCAACCTTGTGCATTCCAAAGGTTTTGGACTACAGCTCCCATCATCCCTGACGATTGGTCATGATGCCTGGGGCTGATGGGAGTTTTAAGGCCAACATCATCTTTGGGCACCAGGTTGGGGAAAGCTGGCTTAAATATTTCCAGCTTTTCTTTTGACTCAAATCAAAACTATAAATCAGGATCCCATCTATAAATGTGCACTTTGACATTTGCTGCATGGTAATGGTGTATGTGTGATTCTGCTGTTCAAACCAAAACCACTGCTTATAATTATTATTATTTAGTTACCTATTATTTTCCTCTCTTCCTTGGAAATTTATTTCAAGATATTTTATTTTTAAATCAGTTAATTACAGTTATATCCCACGTTTCCTCCAAAGAGCTTAAGATGGTACACATGCTTCTCCCTCTCTTAATGATAGTCCTGGTCCAAGATCACCCAGCAGGCTTCAGGGCTGAGTGGTGATTTGAATCCTGGTCTCCAAGGTCCTAGTTCAGCACGTTAACCACTGTACCACAGTCTGCAGAAACAGGACTTATCTTTCCTCCCCTGAATGCCTCCAAAATCAGAAGGGTTGGGGTGCCCTCTGGAATGAATTAGGATGGAGGGGCAAGAGGAAGAATGGGAATTCTGTCACATCCAGTGGTGCGATATTGGATCTTACCATAGTATTTCATTGTTCAAAGTTTTATCGAGTGCACAGAGAACAACGATATTGGGTGGAATTGTATAAAGTTAATAATAAAATATATGAAAGGGTTTCCGCGGGGAAACAGCAATATGTAAAGGCAAAGGTAAAGGGAACCCTGACCATTAGGTCCAGTCGCGGATGACTCTGGGGTTGTGGCACTCATCTCGCTTTTTTGGCCAAGGGAGCCGGCGTACAGCTTCCGGGTCATGTGGCCAGCATGACTAAGCCGCTTCTGGTGAACCAGAGCAGCGCACGGAAATGCTGTTTACCTTCTCGCCAGAGTGGTACCTATTTATCTTCTTGCACTTTGACGTGCTTTTGAACTGCTAGGTTGGCAGGAGCAGGGACCGAGCAACAGGAGCTCACTCCGTCACGGGGATTCGAACCGCCGACCTGCAGGATCTGGAATCATAGGCAAAGCCAAGTCTATAGGTTTTTTGCACTCCTTTTATCGCATACTGATGTAATTACTATCATTACCACATCCATTCCAGAAGAAGTCGACAGTAAGAAGTAACCTTAGTGACACCAGCTCTTTTGAATGGGAGAAAGCAAAACATTATCCAAAACATTAAGTGCACACACACTTGAACATATTATGACAGCAGCTTTCCACTTGGAAACATCATGTGGAAGTGTGTTACTTGGGAAAGATGTGGCAATGCATTTGGCATTCAGACCTGTCTATGGGGTGGGAAGCACCATGTAGAGATTGTGCAAAGCTCCCCAAACCATTGACTTCTACCCAGGAATTTCCTGCAGTGCTGATTTGGCAATTCAGCTGTAAAGCAGAAACACAACTCCTCTGCTGGGATCTTTGTGTCCATGCTTAAAAGTACGTTCTGCTTTGGCACAAGGATTCTCAGTGTGCTGACGCTGCTGATCTTTCATGCAGACTGTAACGTCTCTGTCTGTAGAGCCGGCAGGGAGGGGATCAGTGACAACTTGCAAGGGAAACAGCGTGAACTGGCGTGAGTACTAGAGCTAATTGCAGCAGCCATTGGGAGATGCTTATGGGGACAGTGAAAACACATCCAATCCTGGCAGGATATATGCACTCTACAGCTTAAGCAACAAACAGAGCATCTGCAGAAATGACACATTCCAGTTCCAACAAAAGTACAGTGTGATGTCATTATTTTCCCCATGGGGAGAAATGCTTAGAGCTCTCCATTATCACTGTGACTTGACTACTGCTCTCTCTCTCTTTTCTATTGCTCTCTCTCTCTCCTTTCTATACTTCCAGTGTTGCTTTAAAAATGACACACTCCTTAAAAAACAACCAGGCACATTCTTTTTCTACAGCACATGATCCTAGGACTAGCATTCTGCCCTCACACTGGCTGACTAGATGCCTATGGGAAATTCACAAGCAGGATTTGAGCGCAATAGTTCTCTCCCACTCGTGATTCATGGCAACTCGTACTCAGAGGTACACAATCTTGGGACACAGTCGCATGACTGGCAAATGCCAAGAACTATGAATGGAAACAGGAAAATACTGTCTAATTTGAAGTGTGTCCCTTACCCTGGCTCATTCTCTCACCCCCTTGGCTAATGCAGAATAAAAACGGAAAAGCCTAGAAATATGGGGATATTCCTAAAAAGCCTTCCTAAAGAACCATATATCTGGACACAAATGTTGCTTCCAGCTCCTTCTCTTTTCTTGCTTGTATAAATCAAAAATAATATGTACTTTGCCCCTACAAGCACAAAACCAACAGAACCAGCAAATTAAAGTTTCCAGGAATAATGGCTTTAGTACACTTACAAAAAAACAAACAGCACTGATGGGGTCAGTGCCATGAAGCACGGTTGCCCATGATGTGCCAGAGACATTTTGGGAGAGACACCATGTGTTTGTTTACTTATTTCAAAAAGCTTTTGATAAAGCCCCTCACCAAAAACTCCAGAGTAAGCTTAGCAGCCATATAATAAGAGGACAGTTACTGATTAAAGAACAGAAAGAGGAGAATGTGAATAAATTGTCAGTTCTCAAAATGGAAGGATGGAAAGCCTCTGCTTTTTAACTTGTTCATACATTATCTGGAGTTGGGGCAAGAAGTGAGGTGGCCATGTATGCTGGTGTTAGGGTAGCAAGAACAAAAAAAATGTGAGGATTTCCAAATGGATCTCTTCATACTGAGTGAATTGGTATTATCGAAACAAGTGAAAAGTGATTCAGATTGGGGCAAAAAAATCCTAACTTCATATACACACTTCTGTGGTCTGAAGTGGCAGTGACTGATCAGGGAAGAGATTTTGGAATCATGGCAGATCATCCAATGAAAATGTCAGCCAGCGTGCAGCAGCTGTGAAAATGGCACATTCCATAGTAGGGATCAGTAGCAAAGGGATTGAAAATAAAACTGCCAATAGCATAATACTGTTATACAAACATATTGTGCATTTGGAATACTGTTTACAGATCTGGCTGCCACACTTCAGAAAGGCTTTTGCAGATCTAGAAAAAGTTAAGAAATCAGAATGGTTCTGAGGCAGAAACAAATCAGCAACTGGGGCTTAGTTTACAGAAACAGTCAGCAGGTGTAAAAGATTATGCATCGTGTGCAGAAAATGGACAGAGAAAGTTTTTCTCCCTCTCTCATAATATGAGAACCAAGGAACAACTAATGAAGCTGAATGGTGCGAAATTCAGAACAGGCAAAAGAGTACTTTTTCAGAAAGCACATGGAATTTCCCCCCACCAGTTGTCGTTATAATCACCAATTTGATGGCTTTAAAATATGATTAGACAAAGTCACAGAAGAGAATGGTATCAATAGCTACTAGCTATGAACAGTGTTCGAAACTCCCATTGTTCCCTGTTTAGGGAAGCTTTTAATGTTTAACAGACTATTGCATTTTAATATTTTGTTGGAAGCCGCCCAGAGCGGCTGGGGAAACCCAGCCAGAGGGGCAGGGTGTCAGGACTGGTCGTTGTCCTCTTCAGATCACCACACAAACGCTTCTTGTTCTTTTATAAAACTTTTTATTGCGTATTAACAAAACATTCTTATAAACGGTTCTTAACTATTATTCCTCAGAGTCACTTATTTCAGATACCTTCTGAGCTCTGCTTCTCCATGACCAGCCACTCTCAAAATGGCGAAGGCACCCTTCCCTTCGCTTTCCCGCTCTTTTTTCTAACCTCCTGGCTAGAGCTGGCTTGTATCTCCCCTCCTCCGAATCTGAGCTAGAACTTAACCCTTGCCTTTCCTGTGAACAGCCAGTCCCTCCCTGTTGTTCCTCTTGCTCCCTTCTATTCCCTGACACAGGGTATGTATGTATGTATGTATGTATAAATAAATAAATAAATAAATAGGTGCAGCTTGCGACAACAAATTTCATTAGCGCGAGCAGTTTCTGAGGTCTGGGTGCAGTACTGTGCCTAAGATTTCAGATTAAAACTGCAGAGTGAAAGGAAAGGAGGACCTTTGTCTGCCTCCCCACTTCCAGCTACTCTCTGAAGACTGGAGAAGAGACCCTCTTAAGAATATTAGTGGGGTGGGCAGGGGAAGAACTAGACCATGTGAAAAATGAACATAATGTTTTAGCTGCAGTTCATTCATTTTCAGCTTTGTATTCTTGTTATTTAAAAAAAGTGTCTAGACATTCCGTTGTTGTGCCCATAACCTAGGTTTAAGGTGCAATTTAGCTCCTAGCTTTTATATCTCAGTTTCTAACACTGGCTATGAAACCTATTTACTGCCTTCAGTATCAGAGTAAGTTTGACTCTATATCCCGCTTGCTGAGGAACACGAGTGGGGAGAGGGCTGTTGCACTCAGGTCCTGTTTGCAGTCTTCCCATAAGTAGCTGGTTGGCCAGTTTGAGAACAGGATGCTGGACTAGGTAGACCTCTTCTTATGTTCATATTTCTATCGATTATTTTTGCTCTACGACTCAAAAAGTCTTTTCCTGCTCTAATAGGTAACACAGCACCCTCTTAGCAAATGTAAACAAGCCATGAGAAGTAAACTTGGCCCCTTTGCAGTTAGTCATTTAACAGTTAATTCTGTTACCCAATATCTAGCCATCACCACTCACTTTATATATTTTTTCAGTACCTTTACTTATGGACAGCAGAATCTCCTTGTGCATACATCAACCACCAGCTCCTATGACACTTTCGCCCTCAACATCTAAAGTTGCATTCTACCTCCATCAGAAATCACAACACTTACCTTTAATAGAATGTTAGCAGATTCCAATTTCTTGGCTTCAGTCATTGCAAGTAGCTGCTCATAGTCAACAGGTTTATACTTGGAACTCTTAAGGCCATTTTTCATACGAACCACCAAGCTTTCTAGTTGAAGCATGAAACAAATCAAACATGAATAAAGTCTCCAGCCATTATGTGTTTTGAAACACAATGAGAACGAAAGAACTTTCTCTTTTAAAAACAAAGTTACTCCACTGCAATTATAACAAAACATGAATAGGAAAGACAACACATGGCGCTTTTGGTTTTTTTCTGAAAAATACAAAAAAATATTTCGTGCAAGCCACTGTCTCAGCGACCCAACACTTGAACTGAAGTGCCAGGCCTGTGAAGCTAGAGAAATATCAATAATCACCTAAGCAATGAACTGTTACATATTATAGTGCCTATCAGTTCAAGCTTGCAGGCTCAGTATGCACCTCTGCTTGCAAGAAGGAAAAAGGTAACTGCCATTTGGGTCACTGAGACAGTGGCTTGCATGGCACTTAACTATCTGCTAATTAGAATGTAAAGAACATAGGCAGCTGCCTTATGCTGAATCAGATCATTGATCCATCTAGCTCACTACTGTCTACACTGACTAGCAGGGACGTGGGTGGCGCTGTAGTCTAAACCACTGAACCTCTTGGGCTTGCCGATTGGAAGGTTGGCAGTTTAAATCCCCGCAACGGAGTGAGCTCCCATTGCTCTGTCCCAGCTCCCACCAACCTAACAGTTCGAAAGCAGGCCAGTGCAAGTAGATAAGTAGGTACTGCTGAGGCAGGAACGTAAACAGTGTTTCCATGCATTCTGGCTTCCGTTATGGTGTTCCGTTGAGCCAGAAGCTGTTTAGTCATGCTGGCCACATGACCCAAAAAGCTGTCTGTGGACAAACACCGTCTGCCTCAGCCTGAAAGCGAGATGAGCACCGCACCCCATAGTCGCCTTTGCCTGGACTGAACCGTCCAGGGTTCCTTTACCTTTACCATTCCTTTTCCTTTACCATTTCACTGACTAGCAATGACTTTTTCGGATTTCAGGTATGGTTCTCTCCCAACCCTACTTGTAGATGCTGGGGATGGAACCTGGGACCTTCTGCATGCAAAGCAGATGCTGTACACCTAAACTATGGTCCTTCCCCTGCTAAATGTTGCAAGAGCAGGACTCCTGCCAAACCCCATGATGCCTCTGTCCATCACAGAGAGAGTGCCACTGACTGCTGCCACTGTGGGAAGCAAATACCCACCCACAAAAGTAGAAACAACTTCATCAAGCAATGTCAGCTAAGTTTCCTAGAAGCCAGAGCATAGAATTATAGGATAAATCTCATAAATCATGAACTCCACATAAACTCTATGTAATAATCTCTGTGTAACTAATACAGCTGGCTAATACTGAGCAAGGCAAGCTGTGACACAAACAGTGGAAATGGAACATTGAAATGGGTTTTAAAAGTCTACCTATATCGCTACTTCTGGGAGATGTAGTAAATCCTCGAAGGTCACTTCCACTCATCTTAACACCTGTTGAACAAAAAAGCAAATTATTTATAAGACTGGGACAATACTTTAGAAAGAGAGAGTCACATTCATGTGTTTTTTGTATAGGGGCTTCTTTGTCTAGTGTGTACCCTGTTCATAGAATTTCACATTGCTCATCATATGAAACGGATTCTAAGGACAAGTATTACAGCAGCCATGTATATTTTACTGCGGGTTTTTTTTAAGGATAAAGCTTATAAAAGTGCAATCAAAGGTAATGTTATACTTGCATAATTAAGAACTGTTTGTTTTAAAATGACTTTCAGTTTGATTCTACTAATATTTCCTGGGCCACAACTCCCACTGAATCCAGAAAGCCTTACTCCCAAGTACATGTGCATACATTCACAACCCTAGTAACCATGTGGGAATCAAATACCGTGAAGCACAGTAATTTGCACTAACATTACAATCCAATGCTAAATAAAAGCTATAAAGCTACTTGCACTTGCAAGGAAGCAAGAATGTAAACAAAAGTTTCTCATATCCCATGCTAAGGTTATACCACCAACCAGAGACTACTTTCTGTTTGTGGATTTATGAATCTGGGTTTTCTTCAGTTGGATCTGTAGGCGAAACAATGGGTCAAATAATGGTCTGGATGTGGGCTAATAAACTGAGCCTTAATCCAGACCAAACAGATACACACCTGGTCAGGAGAGATATTGATTTAACTGAGATTCAGCTGGTTTTGGATGAGGGAGCACTCCTCTTGAAAATCAGTTTGGGAGTGCTCCTGAATCGGGCTTTGCCTCTGGATGTCCAGAGAGTAGCTGTGGCCAAGGGTGTCTATGCAGCTTAGGCTGGTCGTGTACCAGCTATTCCCATTCCTGATAAGATAGATCTAGACAGAGTAACACATGCATTCACTACATCCAGATTGTATTACTACACCCTGCCTTTGAAGAGTCTTCAGAACCTTCAGTTTGTACAAAATGCAGCAGCAATGATGCTAGTAGGCATTTGACCATGGGAACATATTGGTCCTCTTCTGTAACAATTTGTTTGCGGATACAATTCTAAGTACTGAAGATTAACCTGTGAAGCCCTATAGGAATTGCATCAGGGCTACCTGGAGACAGTCTTCCTGTCTACCAGCCTGTTCACTCCCTGAGTTCTACCAGAGAACCCCATCACTAAGTCCTGCCCAGGGCTTAGGCACAATTGGCTGGAAGAAGAGAGAGGGCATCCTCAGATTGTAGAATACCTTATCCCTTGGGCCCCCTTTCTTACTCCCTCTCAACCTATTAGTTTAAAATTCCAGGATATGGCAAGCATGTAGAAGAGTCAGGCAGACCTTTGTTTTATGTGCCAAGTCCATTTCCATTTTTAAGATCTTTTGTTTTTAATTGTTGTAGCTACCCTCAAGCAATGCAAACATAATGGAATGGTGGGGTGCATATTTCCTAAAATAAACCATGCATTCACTTGTCTATGATTAACTGAAATCAGTGGGGCTTACTGCACTATAGGACTGTACTATAAATGCCATACGTTTTGGAATTGAAACTTGAATCAATGCATTTAAAGAGTATGGTCACAATAAACCTCAAACATGTTTTATCTAAATTGCTGGCTTTTGTACATAATATTCTCTAATAACTACCTCTGACCACACCTACCTTTAAAAAAAAATCTCAAGTAGATAGTGCCAATGTAAAACAAAGAGAAAGTGACAACTCTCCCACTTGCTACAAGTAAAACCCTTATTTGCTAACAGCAAGCCTGCCAACTCTCCTAAAAGGAACAAGATCATATCTCATCTGCATTTGCTAATATATTTAAATAAGCTTTATAGCAAATTCCTCATTGCCAAGGATAGAGACCGAACTAAAATTAATTAGCTGGATTTAGAAAAAAAAAAATCTTTGGTTAGGCTGGTTTAAAGCTGTCCAGATGGCAAACGGGAGCCATTATAATTCTGCAAGTTTAAAGGTTGAGCCAATGAAACAGATGTTCTGTGCTGCTCTATAGTAGGTCATCCTTTATATGCTAATAAGAATATTCAAATATAAAATCTGTGCAATAATTAAATCTTAACTCTACTCAAAACCAACTTTAAATCCCATTTGGATGGGAAAGAGCACAAAGCGACCTCAGAATTCCTTAGAAAGATTAGATGTGAAACGTGTCACACACTCGCGTCTTTCTGCTGCTTTGCTAGTTGGCAAGCTCCTCACCGACAATGTAACAATGGATGGCTTACTGTTGACTTGTGGATACATTATCCAGTCCTTAGCTGGTGGCAGAAAGAGGAAATTCCAACAGGAAACCTTAAAGGAGTGCTCTCTCACGGGAGTGTTGATCATATTCAGAGTAATTTTTAAAAACCCTTGATTCTCACTAAGCATTGCACAAGTATTTTATATAAAGAATGTGGGTTTTGCTTTCACAGAGAGCTGTGTCAGAGTAACCTCTATGCTTACAGCAGCATGGGTAGCTGAGTGACAGGCCTGTGATTCAACAATTCAGACAGCAAGAAAAGCAGTTCACATTCTTATTAAGTCATGTGACAAAACCAATGGACAGTATGTAATAAAGTTGTTCCGTTTGCAAAAAGACTTCTGGCTGGTGGCTGCGCAACAGAACTTTCCCTCCTTTGCCTCCCCCAGCACACTCCCTGAAGGTGTTCTAGGGATTTTGCCAAGTCTCCGGAGCAGATTTGGGGATGGCATGGGGAAGCGCAGGAAGAGGGAAAGTAGGGGGAAGGTCTATGAGCACAAGGACTTCTGTTTGTGCAATGGAACTACTCTGACGGTGAACAGTTTCAGTGGTTTTTAAAATTAGAGTCCCTATTAGCAGGGCTTTTTTTCAGCCAGAACTCACCAGAACTCAGTTCTGGCACCTCTCAGAGTGGCATCATTACCATAAGGGAACAAGGGAGGTGTTCATGGTGAGCACCTCTTTTTCTAGATAAATAGCACTATTAGGAACAAGTTATCATTATATCAGAGCATCAAGCCAGAACTACATGATATGGAGGATTCATGGATGCTACTAGAAACACTAGCCCCTATCTACTTCCCTTCCCTTGTAACATCTAATACTGCATAACACATGACATGACAGCACCACTGAGAGTTCACCCACGAAAAGCTGCAACCACTGAGAAAGTTGAAAGAGAAACAAGCAGCGTAATGTAACCATGTCATGCATTTCGGACAGGACAGAGGAAGTAGTACTACAGGGTGTTGTTTCTGGCAGAAGCCAACATAAAAGGAAAATATTGTATGACTAAAACATGGTCTCTCACTGTGAGCTGCAATCATGACACGGTGCTGTAAGATAAATAAAGCTGTTTAAGAGGACCATCACTGAAATGCAGCTGGCCAATTTAATCTGGAATTTTGTAAGCATGTGCTTGTGATTCTCTCAGTAGTATATGTCTGTATAATTCTGGCTGGATTAAAGAATAAATATGCAATACAGTGGAACCTCGGTTTTCGAACATAATCCGTTCCAGAAGACCATTTGACTTCTGCAACGTTCGAAAACCGAGGTGCAAAGGGCAGTCTGCAAATTTACAGAGAAAATTGAGAAAAATACGGTGGTACCACAGCGGAAGCCATTCGAGTTCCGAAACGTTCATCAATGGAGACATTCAAAAAACCGAGGTACCACTGTATAGGAAATAGAATAATACAAGTGGGACTTGAAACATAAAGTGACAGTGTGGTGTGGTCCTGCTTATGATTCCAACTGCCAAGCCATGCCTTCTATCGGGATATTTCCTTTTAGTTCCTTCAACCCAGTTTTGCCATGTATTTCCCTGTTCCTCCTATAAAAGACACATTCTGGGGCCAAGGAGCATGCTTAGTTTGCACTTATCTATTTTTAGATTTTTGCCCTCATAGAACTCTTCGATTTTATCTACTTCTGAAAACCCTGGGTTTCCCCCAAGCATGCTGACACTTCCCATTTGCTTCTCATTGGTCCCATTTTGGTTATATAGCCATCAAAACTCAGCATCTCTGTTTCCACTTACTGCACAAGGGCTATCAACCTAGCACCCATGAAGGCCTTCATAGGTACACCTAGTGGCCCCAGACTCTGAGCTTTACTTTTTTTTAAAAAAAGTCTCTAACTCTATAAAGGTAAAAAAGGTAAAGAACCCCTGGACGGTTAAGTCCAGTCAAAGGTGACTATGCGGTGCGGTGTTCATCTCGCTTTCAGGCCAAGGGAGCCAGTGTTTGCCAACAAACAACTTTCTGGGTCATGTGGCCAGCATGACTAAAACGCTTTGGGTGCAACACGAAGCCAAAGTGCATGGAAATGCCATTTACCTTCCCGCCGCAGCGGTACCTATTTATCTACTTGAACTGGCATGCTTCCGAACTGCGAGGTTGGCAGGAGCTGGGACAGAGCAATGGGAGCTCACCCCATTGTGGGGATTCAAACCACTGACCTTCTGATCGGCAAGCCCAAGAGGCTCAGTGGTTTAGACCACAGCGCCACCCACGTCCTGCATTACTCTATAAAGTTATTCTATGATTCTATGAAGCAAAAGGTGCAGATACCCTTCTAAGTAATTTATGTGAAATAAGCCAGTATGGTTGCTCCTTCCTGTCTGTGTTTTTAGCCAAAATCTTAAGTGAGAGCTATGACTGATGAGAGAGTTGTTTGGACATGAGGCAATGGGTCTCCCTCCCCTTTAATGCATTTTTCCTGCTTCTGTCTTATTTTCTAGGCAAAAATTAAACAGGTTAAGGCTTTTCTCGCATTGTCATGGGGAAAGTTTCACCATGACTGCCCTCTCTCTTGTTTTGCTATATGCCATACTCCCCCAATGGCAGCCATTTTGTGTCATGTCATACTCCCAGCACTCCTTCAACATTCCAAAGGGCCCTCTGGCATATGTGATCTCTAGAGAGAAAAGTTTAATTGTTGGATTTTAATTAGTGCTATCATAATACTTTTTGTACTTCAATGATCAGAGAAAACAATTTTGTTTGAAACTTTGGCTGCTGGCTTTGAATTTAGTT